CACACACACACACACACACACACACATATATATATATATATATATGAGTAGTAAATAAACTCAAAGAGATATACACCAAGACCTCCCAACGTCGTTTCATTCAACGGTGTTTCGTTATAACATCGTTGAGAAAAAATACCAGTCAGTGAAGCGTCGACTATATTACGTTAACTAATTTATATATATGTACTGAGTGACATTTTACCCGTTTTTCCACAATGGATGTTTGCTTTATTTATTTATAAAAATTTAATATGTTTGAAACTTAGTCGTAAGTTCATTATTAAATTATATAAATTATTTTAATATATAAAAGCTTAAAAGCTATAAAATCTTTGTTGGTTCAAACGCGATCAGATGGCAGAACGCTTCATTGAACGTCGTTTCAGTTAATGTCGGTGTTTTCGGGAAGATAACTACGATGTTGATGGGAGAGTTGGTGTAGCTATTTGAGATTATTTACTCCATATATATATATATATATATATATATATATATATCTATCAGTAGTAAATAATCTCAAAGGAATTTTACAAGAACTTTTCAGCGTTTTTACAGATTGTCCACTTCAAGATTTGACATAAATAAAAAGAAAATTGTTCTCGAGCTTATTTCGTATCTTAATTATCTGCCTAGCTTGTACTGAAATCGGTTTATAGGTATGTGCTATCTTATTGCTGTCAATTGCATTCGAACACGGTGTTGGTTCGGAGGCTTTTCGGCATGTTGTCATACCTATGTAGCCATATTTAGTCAAGCGATATTAGCGACTACTGCTCCAATTCTACGCTTGTGACAACATGCCGAAAGCTTCTGAATCAACACAGTGTTTCAATACAGTTCACAGCAATACGACAGTGAAATTACTGTAACCCAATTTCAGTACACGATAAAGAATACTAAATGTACGTAATATTTTACCCCCCTATATAAAATAATAATTTAGGCCCACGAACATATACATTTCGGCTTTTATTTATGACAAAATTTGAAGTGGGAAATCGGTAAAAACGCGGGAAAATACGTGTCAAACTCCTTTGAGATACTAATTTACTCATGATATATCTATATATATATATCTATATATATATATATATATATATATATATATATATATATATATATCATCAGCGTATATAAGAATATTGAAATTTGAGCTGCATCGCGCGGACAAACTTGACGATCGTGTACGCGTGCTCATCGCGCCAATCGCTCATCAGATGGCAGCGTTGTGCTGCTTATAACCATTCGAGAATTACACTAGTAAGTTGTCAATTTTTCTTGTCGGCGACATCATTTGCGCAACGAATATTACTATCCGAAGATTTACCGTCGAGCCAACGCATCTACGTTCATAATTCGTAATTGCCTAGAGATAGCGAAGAGCCTCTCTCAAATCACGAGTGTACGATGATCGTATTGCAATAAAGCAAGCAAGCAGTGGCAATGCAATATCACGACGTTGTATAGAGATGACGCAATATTTCTCCAATTTCCATTTGCACGATATTCAATTCGCAGTTAGTTTGTTCTAACAATATCCCTCCTGTATGAAATTGCGGACCAAATAAAGAACCTCTTTCGCTCGCTCGCTCGACATGTAAAGAAATATAGCTTTCAACAGCAACGATAACTCCGTATTCTAAAAGCTGCTAACCTCAAATCTCTTCCCACATACATCAGTAGCAGGTCACTGTTCTGCGCAGCCATTGTCATGCGCGTGTATGGCTCTCACATTTTTTTGTTTCTCGCTCTGACGTTCCGCGCTTCAACCCATTATATACAAGAGTGTATAAATAATTCGATCGCATACATATCTATACCTAGTTTTTTGAAGATGTTTGGCTACGACACTGTTAAGATTCGCCTGTGATACTTATCTGAATATAATAGCAATGAGAACGTATACCTATAACACAGTTTCAGTGATTATTTGCAACACTCTTCCTCATCGTTCTCGTATTTTCCCGACCATTACAATACTTATTAGTATTACTTGCGTAAGAGCAAGACTGCAGTAAGGCGAATGACCTAGAACACTCGTGTATCCTTTTACGGTTACTTTTACAAAAATACGCAACGGTTTAAATTTCGTGCTGAGTTGTTGTTGACGCGGTTACACGATGTTGCCGCTTGTTTTTCATGAGTCAAACTGTTCCTACACTTTGTAAGTATCAGAACGGACGAGAAAATATAAAAAACGATTGATAAAACATGAGAAATCCTCTATTTAAGTTGCATTAAATAATGACACCTGTACCAGTCTATGCTCATGACGTCACTCAATGTAATGCAATTTTGGCTGGTGGTTGTCAATTTCAACGGAATTGTCTCGACACGAAAAAAAGTACCTGCGTTAGTTGCTATTTTTATATACCATAACAGCCCAAACCCATTGCAATGTTTATGCTAGAGTAATCAGTAACATAATAATTCGCTATTATGTGAGACAATATTTCGCTATATTTTTCCAGATTATGCATATGTTTCAGAGATGAGTCCTTAAAATAGTATGAAAAACAGCATTTTCTGTAGGGTTCGATAGTAGTAGTACTGACACTAATGAACAATAGGTGCCCAATATAATGCTGCCCAATAAAATCCTGCCCGGGTAAATGACTGATCTTTAGCATGTTAATTATACGACCTATAGAAAGATGATCATTTTGCACGACACGAGCTGCCAGCTTTCATTTCACATGGCCTTTGCTTACAGAAACGACGCAAGAAAACCGGGGAGTCCGCCTACCCTAAGGTATACGCGTGCGCGTGTGGCTTTGTAATTAGTAGGAGGTAATTACACAGGCACCCTTGGGCAAGTTGCTAAGTTTGCTATGGCCAAGGTTGCTAGTTTATATAACACGAATCTTACTAGGTATTTGCGTCTGTACACTAACATATAACTACTAGGTAGCAGGCATGCCGTCCGTCTGGCGGTCAGTTCATCAGCAGCAGCTGCTGTGGCCGTAATTAGACCAAGATTTCACTCGACGTTCACTGCCTCGTGTTGAAACGTCTCTTGCTTAGAGTTTGACAGACTTTAACAACGGACTGCCAATAGATAGGCATGAACGATGTTTAGATAACAGTGCATATATACGATCGGATAGTTAGACGAAAGATGGATCAAACTGGAATCATCTCATTTATTGCCAAGTTGCTGATTACCAGGGTAGCAATCGCCGCTATAGGTATCCCTAACTTTTCTCTATAGCTATATATCTATATAACTCTATAACTCTATAACTCTATAACTCTATAACTCTATAACTCTATAAATCTATAACTCTATAACTCTATAACTCTATAACTATATAACTATATAACTCTATAACTCTATAACTCTATAACTCTATAACTATATAACTCTATAACTCTATAACTCTATAACTCTATAACGATATAACTATATAACTATATAACTCTACAACTCGATAACTTTACAAGTCTATAACTCTATAACGCTATAACGCTATAACTCTGTAACTCTATAACTCCATAATTCTATAACTCTATATTCTTGTCGTTTGTGAACAGCAGCGTGCGTGCGGTGTACATGGGTGTTGCATAGCAGCATTTGAACGGCATTTACAGGAAATTATCAGTAATAAGAGGCGAAAAAGAGTAGAGAAACATTAAGACTTTGGTAGTAAATACATTTCGTGTTTATTTACCATCATTTTATTATTGAAACGTTCTAAGTGCATGTGGTCGTGCTTGCTTGCGCGCATGTATGAATGCGCGTGTGCGTGTGCGCGTGCGTTCGCGTGTGCGTGCGTGCATTCCGCTGTCCCTGCACGATAGCGTGGTCGCGCTGTGTTTCGCAAATTCGCATGAGGTTGGGCGTATATCTATCGATTTTTGACTCAGTCACTCACACACTCTCTCAATTTCGTTCGACAACCCCCCTTTCTTTTCTTCGATTCCCCGCTCTCTCTTATCAATATCCCTTTTGTCTAGCCCTCACTTCTCTTTTACCTTATTTACCCCCCTTTCTCCCACCCCGATCGATTAGAATTCATAACACATCTTATATATATATATATATATATATATATATATATATATATATATATCAAGAGTACATAATATGTGTATGTATACACACACCCACACATTACAATATATAACACAATATAAAGTTATGAACACACTCAAAATAGAGCATAGCCGATCGACTTCGCCCAGTTGCCCGCGTTTTAACGCTAACACCGCATGTGCCATTGCGTGTGGTCAAAGTGCAGTGCGGCTAATGTAACAACCCGTGTTTAGACGATATTTGCATGAGACAACAATTGATCTGCACGTGCGTGACGTGTAATAATCCAAATTACAATCGAGGGCGCAATGGTTTCTCGTGACGTGCTATCGGCAAGCTAAACGCTGTGTGCAGATAAATCCGAAAGTGGTAATTTTTTATATAAGTTTCAACGTACTACCAGTACGTTGTAAAACAAACGTACTAAAGTAGAACAACCATGCCAACTGTTTTGTTTTACGCGCTCTTGGGTAAAGTACCTTCGCATAGAGGTATGCAACTTTTGCCAGTAAAAACGTAAAAATTGGTCAGCAGATGACGATGGAATTACAGCTGTGTGTAGGGGAACCCTGAAGTTTCAGCTGTGGATGACGTTGGGATGGGCGGTTATCATAGCTGTATGCAGCGTATACTGGGGATACAAACATTATGTATGTGTAAGTGAGGAACGCCAGCGGCGACACAGTCGTTGTCACGTTCTCGTTTTGTTGCATTTCAGGCGATAGATCTCAACCAGAAGGCACTGACGGTCGCTATACAGATAGGAAACAAGGTATGCCCCCACGAATAACTTCCGCGCAACGCCATGAGGCGTCGCGTCGTGCCTTCTATTACCTATAGTTCACAGCTTCATGGAGATTTCAATGGCTCGAATGCAAACATTTCCGCGTTATGTTGTGGAATCGCGTCCGAAAACCTGCAGAGTGATTACTTAGAATCAAGAATTTCTTTGAGATAATGGCCCAATAAACGTGCGTCCGCACGACCTAGTGTTTAGCGTGTGTTTGCAAACAATGTCACACAATCCATAGCTCGTTGTTTGTGTATTAACAAGCGCAGGGAGGTATATGAATACACATACTACCTATATCTAGCATGCATAATTTCAGGAGTGCATAATAAAGAGTGTATAATAATAAACTGTATAATAATAGGAGTGTATAATATAGATATCTATATAGATATCTATAATCTATATTCTCTATTATACACGCCTGATAATTTCTAGTCATATAATTTCACCGCGTCGTTTTCTTATCAAAAAATATCGTTATATAGCGTGTGCGCTTTTGCACGCGTGTGCTGTGTTGTGCATGCTAGAATTAGAACGCACACTTATTATTAACTGCATTGTTATTGATGCAGTGAATAATTCGGCCATCTCCTTGCATTTTCCTCCTATATAGTACTAATGATTTATCTCTATCTCTTATATTTTCATTACGTTCTATTTACACCTACCCATTTGATAACATATTCACATTTTCGTCTACTGTCTTATTATCTATGGAGCTTGAGAATATGGGAGGCATGGCAGGAGATCATCGATGATTGCCGCACGTAGGCCGATCACAGACGTAAGAGCAACGGTGACACAGACACAACTCTGTTTATACAGCTTCATCATCGATCTAAGCCTTCATCAACCCGATCATTATCTGTCTGCTGCTTCTTGGCGCTCTAGCCTCGTCTCTCTCTATAGTCACCGAGTTAGCGCTACCGAGTTTCAGCTTTCATCACTTTTAGACAGAGGAAATTGAGTCGGGACGTTTTTTCCGTGACTCAATTTCTCCGCCGCTGCTGCCTCACAAAAGCTGCAAAGTGGTGCTAAAGTGGTGATGTTAGCGGAGCGGTTAAGTAACTGCGCTTACCCAGTTGGTAGCGCCAGGGGCGGCGCGATCGGTGCTGGCTGGACACAAACTCGGCAGATTAACCCTGTTTATGCGAGCAGATTTCGGGATTAACTACGCAAGGAATAGCTATTCGGCTATTAAGGCTGCTTTAAACACAGTGACATGCCCCGTCCGGAAGAGAACGCGATATAAATATTATCGCAGCTAAGCCGGAACATGGTTCTTTTCTGTTGGGTTCTTGTATATATTTGAGCACGTGTTGCTCGGAAATCCAGGCCTTGGTAAAACACAGGCGCTTGTTCATTTGTAGGGGGAATTAAAAACTATATGTGTACATTTGTCTGTGCGTGCGTGTGTGCGTGTATATGCGATGAATTGCGTGGATAGGATATCTTATTATTTACCCATTCCTAAATAATTTTGCGCTGACCGGCCCTGAATCGATCATAACCCCTGCTCTACGCATTCGGCTTCTCTGTTTCTCACCAGCTCTACCAGATGCGTTGCCACCAGCGCATGGAGGAGCACTACCGTTGCCTAGGCGACAGCGATAAAGCGGAGGAGCATCAGGAGTTAGCCCAGAGGTTGCTGAATGAGATGGAATTAACGTGTACGATATGTGGCACTGATTTCTCCCACAGCGACACGCAGCTAGAAGTCATGCCTTGTTCTCACATCTTCCATGCACGGTGCGTACACTCACGCGCACACGCACATGCATACGCACACGCACAAGCATATTATGTATATGCACACGCACATGCGTACGCATGTGCAAACGCGCATGCCCACGCACACACGCGCGCGCACACACACCAGGCACACAACACACGACCATTAATACCAATTTATATGGAGTTGGTGTCGTTTCAGGTGTACGCCACTACTTATGAGCCAGACACGCACACTCAGACACACACACACACACACACACACACACACACACACACACACACACACAACAACAACACACACACACTCACGCACACATGCGCGGGCACACACACATCGTCAGAGAAAGAGAAAGAGAGAGAGAGAGAGAGAGAGAGAGAGCGAGAAAGAGAGAGAGATATACGCACCAGCACACGCACATGCATGTGCACACGCATACGCGCATGCACGAACGCACACGCCGCACACACACACGACCATTAATACCAATTTATATGGGGTTGGTGTCGTTGCAGGTGTACGCCACTACTTATGAGCCGGGGCAGCTCAAGGAAACGCTACTGCCCTCGTTGCAGATCATCTGTGATAAACAGACCGACCCTCGTCTGACCCCGCGCGCTGACCCGGTGACGTCACGCCATGTGCGATGCATTCTGAGCATGCGCCGTTGTGATATTCCCGCAGGGCGGGAGTTCGAGACCAAGCCGCGAGAAACGGATTAGTGATTTCCCGTGAATTCAGCTGCGTGGTTCATCGTGACTCAGCTGCTACCTGGAGGCACTGTGATGTCATACAGCTAACGTCGTTCAGCCGTCGTTACGCAGCCAACGTCATGCAGCTTAGGTCGTACGGCTAACGTCAAACAGCTAATGCCATATAGCTAACACCATGCAGCTAACATCATGAAGCTAACACCATGCAGCCAATATCGTAACGCTATCACCATACAGCTGAAAATCATGGTCATCCATCTTTCGACATACAGCGAACATTATGTAGCTAACAATATGCAAGTAACACCATATAGCTACAGCATACAACTAACGTCATGCAGCTATTTTCATATAGCTAATGTCACGTAGCCATTACTATAGAGCTAACATGATAGGAACTGTTGAAGCACAACGTGTGCTAACGTGGTGCAGCACACGCAGTTAACATCACACAGTTAACGGAGTTAGCATTCACCTCGTCATACAGCTATCATCGACATATTATCGCACAGCGACGTCGCCAACGTCCGACATTTAACACCAATGATAGGGAGTCGTGAACACCTCCCTGTTGGACGGGATCTCAGTCGTCGCTAAGCGCACGCATTGAGCTGTAAGTGATACTAGCTCATATACAGTTGTTATACATACAGTTATTATATACAGCTCAGTGAGTGCAACACACGACAGCAAAGCTGCAGACACCGGTACTTCGGTAGCCGTCAGAGGGCGCTGTTTAGCAGCTGCTTGTAGTGCAGGAAAGAATGAAACAGGGAGCAGTGGTTATTTTGTTCGTTTTCTTATAACGGTTACTTTGTTTTTAAAGGACTCACTCGACGCGTGCCTTTACAAACGAGTTTCACTTCTCTCGGAGTAGGCATTGTCAATGTGAGTAACCGTTCTTGTATAAAAGATATTGTTGTGTTTTTTGCATCGGTTTTACTTTTTTTCTATTTAAGTATGAACTATTATAAATATTCTCATCCCACCCTCACCCGTGCGATGTACGTACGGTGCGTTGTGAATACTCCTTTACCCCGTTTAATTTGACATTCTATCACATTCATCTTTAGGTTGTGTAATTTGAAGGCCTGTAAGATACTGTTTGTATAAATTTCATTCTCAATCCCGGTCTTGCTTATTTCGAACGTCGATCTTTACAAGTGTTACATTTTTAATTATGTATTTGTTGTTGTGGAATAGAACATAGCAATTATACTATAAAGGCATTGTGAATCTATGCCGACTAGCACATGCACCTATCCAACTTAGGTCGCCCTCTTTTCTCTCTCCCTCTCTCTCTCTCTCACTCGCTCTATATATATACACACACAC